CCTGTGTCGGGCTCTGTGCTGACAGCTCGGAGCCTGGACCCTGCTTCGGATTCTGTGCGTGTGTCTCCCTCTCTCTCTGCCCCTCCTCTGCTCATGCTCTGTCTCTCTCTGTCTCTCAAAAATGAATAAACGCTACAAAACCATTAAGGGGTGCCTGGGTGGCTCAGTCCCTCTCTCTCTGTCCCTCCCCTGCTTGTGCTGTCTGTCTCTCTCTCTCAAAAATAAAATAAAAACATAAAAAGAAACCACAGCGTTTAAACTGCGTTGCCCACGAGCACTGCGTTCCATGGATATCTGGTTTTTTCTTCCCTGCAGGAGCCTGCATGGACACCACACACTACTGTATGTTTGTAAAGCATCTCAACTTGTGTTCGCTCGATGTCTACAAACAAAGGTGCTGCTGGACGTGTCTGGAAGGGTAAACCTGTGGAAGGGTCGTAGCGCTGCTGTGAAGAAGAGACCAGAAGTGTAGAAGCTCTTTCCCCCACGTAGCTGGTTCAGAAACATGTTATTTCTTTAAAAAAAAAAAAACACAAAAAACACTCTAGATTCTGCATGCAAACAGGTCGATGCAAACTCACCGCTGGTGGCGTTTTGTGCTGTCGTTTTCCCCACGGCCGGTCTTTAATTCCAGCTCTTTGAAGCGATGCATCCGGGACCAACGAGCGTACCGTGGCAGGCGTGCCGTGGCACGTGGGACCTCCCCGTGTCCTCCTCATCAGGAAATCGCCCAGGTCCCCAGGACGTGGTCGCATGCTTCCTCCCGTGACGCGTAGGCTAATAGCATACAGCGTCCCGAAGTCTTGAGGGACACACGGCAACCGATGACTTCCTCTTCTCTCCCAAGCTTTAGGGTTTCAACAGGTTTATAAAGCGTTTACACTCTGGAAGCCCTGGCCAGTCGCCGTTAAGATGGCGTGATTGGTGCCAGTGGCGTTTTGATGGGTCCCGAAGCCCAGGCTGTGAATGAGAGGCAGTCGCACCGACTGATCCGAGGATCCTGGGGCGGGGAGCTGCGTCTTGCCCTTACGCTTAGGGAACCGGTGGAAGAAACCACAGAGGAAACCTTGCTGCCAGCTTCACGACCATGGAGCTCTATCTGTGACCAAATGAGGCATCTCGGAAATCAAAGGAGAGGGGGCATTCACCTTTTCTACTGATTTTGCAGTGCAGTCAAAGCTTTCTTTTAAGAGCTGTGAATGAGACTTCTTCTGAGCACTATTCTCTTGCACACAAACAGAAAATCAAAGCCTTATTAGACCTAATTTATGCATACGATAGTATTCCTGAGGGTTCTTATTTCGGGAAGATTATAAGAAAGTAATCTAAATATGAAACACGGTGGTTGGAAAGACTTGTTTATAGTAAAGCATTGTTTTCCTTCAGACTGATTTGTCGGTAAATCCAAAGTGAATTTGGGTGAGGCTAGAAGTTACAGTTGGGGCTAGAGGTCAGGGTTAGGATTTGGCGAGTAAGTGTAGGGTTTGTGTTAGTTTTAGGACTGGGTTAGCTGAGAATGGAAATTACGGTAGGGTGAAGGCTGGAGTTGGCTTTGGGGGTTGAGGTTAGGGTCGGGACCAGGACGGGTTGTGTTGGGTTGCGTTCGAACTGGCGCCAGTGCTGGTGTTGGTGACAGTGTCAGGCTGGAGGGTAAACCTGGAGTAAGTGTTTCTGCGGAAGTAGTCTGGGGCTAGCATGAAAGTTCGAAAGCCGATTTGGTTATGGCGCCCCTTCCCTTATATCCTGCCGATTACTGCTCTAGATGGCACACAAGCCCAAGTCAGTGGCCGTCCGTGCTTACGTGGCGACCCAGCCACCCGCACCCGTGTGCTGCCCCCAGCGCGCCGGCCACGACATCCCCCGAAGCAGGTGGCTCTGGACCTGATCACAAAGACGTGAGCAGCGCGCTTGGTCTTTGGACGTGTCTGTGGACGAGCTCGCTGAGTCTCTCGACCACATTCTGAGCACCAGCCCTCGTGTTCTGACTTTAGCCTCACGGACACTGGTGATAAACACTACTGTACGTGGAGGGTTTGGTGGCCGGGATGGATGGGGATGGGGAAGGGCACACACACCAGCCCGCGGGTTGTTAATCATCAATCACCCTTGATTGTCGAAGGATTTTAAATTAAAAGAAAGATCATTTGTAAAATACTCTTTGTATATATTTATTATATGACTTAAAGGTGCAATATTTTATTTTGTACAGTATGTAATAAAGACATGGGACATATATTTTTCTTATTAACAAAATTTCTTATTAAATTGCTTCACCTTTGTATTTAAAGTCGCTAATTTTCTTGTACTTTTGTTACCATTCAAACGATGTTCCTGTGTACTGTATTTTACTACTGTTTCCATAACATAAGAGTTAATGTTTCTTTCATGACCCTTAAGTGATTCAGAAATAAATTTGATTATTCAGTGGCATCCTTAGACACGTGAGTGGCTTGCTTGTATTGTTTTTTGATTTTGTCGCCTGGGTCAGCCTTCTTGTGGGTCTGGGAGCGGACCTGATGGGTTCCCAGTCCTGGATCGTCTTGTGAAATGGGGGTTAGAGGATTCAGGGCGGATCACATAGAAATTCAACTCTCACTCCCTCGCCCAGTCGTTTATACCCTGCGCATTAGAGTGAAAGCGATGTCAAGGGCAGAAAGGGTGGAAAGAAGTCCCAAATGGACAGCCTGAGACAGGTTTAGAAGTAGGTGGTGGTAAGAAAACAAGAAGTACTAATCATCTTTGATTTGGGATCATTAAGAGGGTTATAGGGACTGACCGACTGTGTCTGCACCTAAAGACTTTTTGGCCGCAGTTGGTGAGGAATCAAAGTCCCTCGTTCAACACTAGGATTCACTCTTAGCGTTGCCCGAGCAGTTCTTACAAACCACAAGGCCTTTCTTTCTAGTCTCTGGGTCTGTGGGCTCATTTTCCGCAACAAGGATCTGCAGGGAGACCCGTGGAGATGGGGTGGGGTGAGGCTGGAAATTTCCTACTGCCTCTTCTCTCTGGATTGTCCTTCTTTCTTCATTGGATTCGTCCAAGTTTGGCCTAGTGAGAACTCCTTCTAGAATGTGGCAGGCTGTTAAATATTACAGGTTTCCGGTGCTGTTACAATGGGGTTTGTGTGTGTGTCCCTGCACAGCACATATTTCAAGGAGACCTTAAGGCGATGGCAGGTCAGGTGACTCCAGCTTTCCACCACCACATTTGGAACTCGCTTTTGCACAGACTCTGGAGATCACTCTGTACCTGCGTTCATGCTGTTCCCGCTGTCCCGCTTTTCCTGACCTGGCAAGTTCCCGCTCACCATTCCAGATTCAGCTCAGCTGTCCTCTCCTTAAGGAAGCTTTCCCCGAATTCCCGGGCTAAGTGGCCCCTGTGTACTCTCTCCCAACGTCTTATTCACGCCTATTATATTGGGTGTTAGATCACGGGGAGACACCATTATTCAGCTCTGTGTCCTCGGCCCAAGTCACATTGCCACGGGAAACCCCAGGGTGAGTTTACTATGGGGAGCCTTTGTCCAGGGAAGAGACCACCCCCATTAGATTACAGAGGGATTTGCATGTCCAGCATCAGAAAATGGGCCAGGATGAGAGTGCTATCATATTTTCTAATTTTTCATTTTGAGTATATAATCATGTTTTTTATTACAAAGGTAAGAATATCTAGTTATGTACAGGTTAACCTAGGTAAGAGTTCATGACAAAGGCCTCTTTTCCAGAGAAAATTTTGTGCAGAAATGACTTCATGAAAATGCATTTTATTGATGCTTTATTAATGTTGCATAAATACAGAATTCTACATGTCATAATTTTCACTAATCAATACAAACGTACATACACACGAGCTACTTTCAAATAAACGTTTTAACCAAACATTGGTGGACCTATTCTCAAGCACATAGTTTGAAAGAATTCTAAAGCTACAAAAGACTACACTTCATGATAAATCATACTCTCCCCTAATGCAATCATCCAGCAAGGAAAAAATAAAAACAGGAGTTTAATTCGTTAGGAAACTTTCAGCATTTATAAATGCAATATGTTCTTTCTGCTTCACTCACTGACATCATTCTTTCCCTCCCTTCTTAGCGCTTAGCTCACGCTGGAGAAGAAGGACATAATTATGCCCCAGACCGAGCCTGCTGCTTCTTCTGAACCATGACTCCAGGCATGGCAATTAGGTACGTCATGACCCGGGGTTACCCTGAAGATTCTTCAGAGCCATCAGTCATTCCTAAAACTACTCGAACACACAGTGTTTTCCTTCCTACAAATACTGTCTTTCAAACCACGTGACTCTCCTAGTCCAAGCTCTCTATGCTCTGTAACGGGTTCTCAGGCGCTTGATTGAGGACAAGACTCAGAAAGCTTACTCCTCCTAAGCTCAAAGCAAATTTGGTCATTTTCCAATCCTTGCCTCCGGCCAGAAAGTGAGTGTTGAGGAGGTAATGACCCTCGTTTGGAAAAGGAGAAAACAGGTTCAAAAGAGAGACTGAGGGACTTCATAACAATCTCTGACACTTGTTTGGCACTTTGACTTTTGGGTTTCGATGAACCATCTGCCCTGATGCTCGAAACGATGTTTGTGAGCTGAGCAGAGCAAATGTCCTTTTACACATGGGGACACTGGGGCTCAGAGACACCCGTCACTGGCCTAAGGTGACGCAAATAGAAACTGTTGTCACTGGAACCCGAACTCAGAGCCTTGATTCCCCGTGCGCAGAGCCATTGCTGGTCACACGGCGGCTCCTCTTACGAACTTGAGCATGGTGAGGAGCGGTGCAGTCATCCCTGGCACCGCTAACCACGGTGCAGGGTGTCCACACCCTGAAGTCTGAGATGAAGACCGTCGTCCCGGATGAGGAATCCACGTGTCGTGGTCAGAGGTGTGCTGGACAGTCCCAGTGCACTTGACACATGATAACCAGGTTGTGAGTGACCATGTAATTGTTGTAATTAAAAGCATAAGTATAAAGGGTAATCGATCAGAGACAAGCGACCAAACGGTAGGTTGGGGATCAAAATAGTTCGGGTGGGAATGCCCGTTATTCAATTTTCAGAATAGCAGAGTAGAGAACAATCTTGGTGAGAGATCAATGCAAAATAGATTTTAAGGTCCTCGCTTCCCATAGGTAATTTTCCAATTTTCTTGTTTAAAATTTTAAAATGATTTCTTTTACCTCTCCCCTCAATTATTTTCACTACCAAAAAATTGGCTTTGCCTTTAGAAAACCAATATCCTGTTAGCTTCCTTTCAAACGTGATTTGATGATTAGGAGGCCTCCACCGTGGGTGTGATCTTGCGGAAGAAGTGATGACCTCGAGAATTTGTATTTTCAAAGACATAACCCGGAGGAGAGGGAAAGCTAGCGGGGCAGATTTCCCGTTTCTTTGGTGTGTACTCTAGACAGTACATGGTTGTGTCATCGAATGGAGCAGAAATCTTCACGGGAGCGTGCACGGGTTTGCAGCTCTGTGTTGGATTCAGCTCATGTGGCACATAGTGAGACCTGAAAGTGGTCCAACCATCAAATTTTCCAGATGGGTTGGGAATCTGCTGCTGCTTCTTAATAAGTCCTTGACGACAGCTTTCCCAGGCTGGAAAATCTTCCTTTGTCGTGCTTTTTCCTTGAAAAGGAAAGTTGTTATTTCTTTTCTGAGAAACTGGCCTGATGGGAGCAACACGTTTGGTCTGATAGGGAACGTAGTCAAGATGGCTTGTGCTGTTTAACTGCATGGTGCCTGTGGGAGGGACATACTCTGGTGTTTTCTTGACTGCAGGTGGTGGGATTTCCCATGGTTGAAAGCTCTCGCGGAATTCGGTGCTCCCTTCAAAATGAGCATTTTGGGTCACTCTGGTGTATGGAGGTCTGCAGAGTTTTGCAGATTCGCCAACAAGGCCCTGAAAGTCATACCGGTGAGTTGTGAGATCCTCAAAGGGTTGGGTGGTTGGCTTGTAAACCTCTTTTGGCCTTGAAAACTTGAATTCTAGCTGATAAGGTACATAGTCAAGACGGTGACTTGTGTCACCATTAAAAGGGACAGTAGAACATTTGATCACAGGGCTGGGTTTAAAGCTTTGCCGAGGCCGTATCTCCTGAGGAACATAATCATCCTGAAATGTAGTTGAATTTCCAAATTTCACGGCGGGGGGATGATAAGTTTGCTCTGGTTTATAAAGGTCCATTTTCTGAATGTCCCAAGCTCTGTAATCATCTTGAAAATAAAACAGAGAGCATTTTAAAATACTGAAGAAAACAACCATCTTCTAAAAATCATGGCTTGCTTACTTCTCTCATTGCCAAACATCTTTTCATTTCCTTCATAAATCTGGACAATAATCGAGTATGAAGTTGCTCACGTTCCCCTGGTTTGTTTCTTCTTCATGTTCACCTGTCTCTTCTATCATCCCACTTTAGTACATATAACTTTCTACTTCTAGACTTACCTGAATACGCAACAAGGGAATGGAACATCTGAGCTGGATTGTTGACAGTTTTTGAAAGCCTGTGTTTTGGATAAAGGCAGAGTTTAGGAGATTATGGTTGTGTTTTCCAGGAACTGCTTGGGGTTTTCACTATAACTCAAGAAATGCTAAAGGAAACCATAAAATCTAGGGATTAACATGAAATCAAAGGCCCTGATGTGTGGGCAAAAGTGACGTGGGTATTATTCCTTGGTTTCGGAGGGACTCCTCAAAGGAGAGAGAATTGCAATTCCATTATACTTTAGGAACAGGACTCTCTGAGCAAAGATACAGAATAACTTGTACTATCCCAGAAAGTTCATTGGCTTCAACTTTAACTTCTCAGAAAATGGACTTCACGTCATTCCCCAAAGATAGGGGGCCATCTAGAGGCCAGAGGCCTGAAATGAGTGCTTTCAAACATGTCAGAAATTGTATGTAGAATTTACAAGTGAACCTCAGAGCTAAGTCTGAGATTTAGCGTTAAATACCTAAATTCTGCTTCTTGCAGCCTACCTAGACCATGGATGGGAAACTGAAGTACTTATATTTCAACTGAGGGTTATTTAGTTTTTCTATTTCTAGATGAGAAAGGTAGTAAGATAAGAAATACTGTGGAAAATGGGGCGCCTGGGTGGCTCAGTCGGTTGAATGTCCGACTTCGGCTCAGGCCATGATCTCACAGCTCATGAGTTCAAGCCCCGCGTCGGGCTCGGTGCTGACAGCTCAGAGCCTGGAGCCTGCTTTGGATTCTGTGTCTTCCTCTCTCTGCCCCTCCCCTGCTCATGCTCTGTCTCTGTCCCTGTCTCTCTCTCTCAAAAATAAACATTAAAAAAAAGAAATACTGTGGAATTGACTTTACCCAAAAAAGATGTACACTGAAGACTAATTTATAAAAGACAGAAGTCATACAAGATAACATATAAGAGTCTAGGCTACAGTCCATGCAATGTCTATTGGAAAGGCCAAAACTCAAATGCTTTTTATGGGGATACCTCCTTTGGAGAGAAGAATTCCTCATTCACAAACAGTTCTGCCACAGTGGCCAACTTTGGGACCAAACGATCACTTCCATGTCATCAAGTACTGGTGTTTGGATGAGAGTGGATGCCTGGCCTGAGAGCAGATCATCTGTAGGCTAGTAGGGATCTACAAAACAGCCTGGCAAGAAGAGACGAGCTGGGTAAGCAATTCTTGTCCTTGTGAACCCAAATTTGAAAACATGGAGCCAGATAAAAGCGAGAGATGAATCTACAAGGATGCCATGTAGTAGATAGAATTGGAGAGCTATGGTAAGCCGAAGACTTCAAAATCCACCTGTAGGGCAACAGAATTGATAAGTAGACAGAGGAGCCCAGGTAGTAGAGTGGCAGTCAGAGCAGATGCATGCAGAGAAGTGAAGAGGCTGTGATAGAACCCATGGGGCTCTGGCAGAGAGGCGGGGAGGGAGGGAGTAGCTCCGCCCTCAAGCTTCCTCTGTACCCGATGGCTTTCCACTACCAGGTCACGGGAAACTCTCTTTTTCTTGAGGCACCATGAACGAATCTCTGTTGTTTGCAATGTCAAGTATAAAATTATAACACTTTTTCACAAGCTAGAAGGAAATCGTAGGGTGCTATTGAAGGTCTGTAGTCCGGCCTTGCTGCCAAAATGACCGAGAAAAAGATGTTAATTTCAAAAAAAAAAAGAAGAAACTAAATAGAAGAGGGTAGTTCTCCCTTGCCAAACGAGCTTCAGTTTTCAAAAGGGAAGCAAGAATTTGGAGACCGAAACACAAGACTTCACAGCACACATTACCATGGATATCGGTTGCAGATAACTGCAGAAAATTGATTTTCCTTTTATACATATGCCTATGCTCATATGCATGGAATATTGATTGTTCATTCTGGAGTATTTATTGATAATGTTCAAGCAACACCTTTAAAACGTAATATTTATTAATATAATCTATTTTTCGTGTCTTGTGACACTGATAGAAAGGACAAATGTAGTGCCATGCATATCTAACAGTGCAGTCTGGTCCTTTGGCAACTGCGGTATTGCCCTGGTTAGATAAGGGAAATTCTGTTTCCTCTGCTCATTCTTTTGATTTCTAGCCACTTGCTCTCTTCTGATCAGCTTTACATCCATGTGTTTGCTCACCATCGATGTTTGAATGTAGAGCTCCATCCCCATCCTTATATAATGAGCTGTTCTAGGTTCCTCTTTGAGAACAAAAGTCCTGAGTTGCACATGCTAGTTCTTCTCCTTGGTACTTTGTAACCTGTTCCCTGTGGCATCTTATGGCACCAAGGACTTGGAAACAGCTTTTACAAAGCCAGGGAGCTCCACCCTGAGCATTTCTTTCTCAATCTGTATATCATCAAAGAAGTCCCATGGTTTTAATTCTACCTGGAAGCTGATGATTTCCAGAAGTGAATCTCCATTCCAGACGTCCTTTCAAACACCAAACCCACATATATATCTTTCTACTAGATATCCCTGTTTCAAGAGGTAAACTGAAACTTAGTATGCTCAAACTGAAAAATCAATCTTGAAGTGTTAATTGAAATTTTATTTCATTTACATTTAATGTAATGAATGGTCTAGTTGAGTTTAAGTTGACTATATTGTTGTTTGCTTTTGAAATTTGTTCCCACATGTCCTTTGTTCCCTTACCCCTTATTTTCTGCCTTGTTTTAGATAAAGGGTATTTGTATTATTCCATTTTATCTATTAGCACTTTAATTATAACTTCACATATTTTAAAAATTTTTTTAATGTTTATTTTTTGAGAGAGAGAGAAACAGAGTGTGAGCGGGGGAGGGGCAGAGAGAGAGAGGGAGACACACAATCCAAAGCAGGCTCCAGGCTCTGAGCTGTCAGCACAGAGCCCGACGTGGGACTCAAACTTATGAGCAGTGAGATGATGACTTGAGCCGAAGTCAGACGCTTAACCGATTGAGTCACCCAGGTGTCCCAAACTTCACATGTTTTTAGAATGAAAATGCATTTTTGTCCTATTAGGGGATCTTTTGGACCTACTTGAACTTAAATTGATATTTTTACCCCTTCTAGAACAGTGGAAGAAACTTTCAACAGTTTAATGCCATTTACACCCTCATGCTGTCTTTTGTGCTATATTTTACTTCCATATTTATATAAAAATACATAATATAATTATTATTGTGACTTTGAGAGGTCAGTATTCTCTTATATTTACCCACATAGTTAACCTTTCTGTGTGTTTCATTCCTTCCTGCATTTCATGCTGCCCTCTAGAATCATTTGCCTTCCACCCGAAGACATTCCTTTACTACTTTTTGTAGTATGGGTCTGTTACTAACAGATTCTTTGAGTTTTTTGTTGTTGTTGTTGTTGTTTTCCAAAAACATTTTTATTTTGCCATATTTTTTGAAAGATATTTTCATTAGATGTGAAAATCTGGGATTCATTGGGTTTAAAGTTCTTGGTTCTTTTTTTCCTTTCAACACTTTAAAGATGTCATCCCATTATCTTCTGGATTCCATAGCCTCAGATGAAAAGTTAGGTATGTTTCTGATTTTTCTTTTTGTGAATAATGTGTAGTTTTGCTACTTTTAAGAATTCATCTTCACTTCATTTTCAGAAGTTTGATGGTAATTGCCTAGCTGTGGTATTCTTTGTATTTATCTATTTGGGGATTTGTTGAGCTTCTTGAATCTGTGGCTTGGTTCTTTCATCAGTTTTGGAAATTTCTTGACCATCTCTCCAAATATATTCTGGTTCTTCTTAGGTCTCATATTTTACCAAGTGCTAGATGTCACATATAAGAAAGCCAAAGACATTGAAATCAATGTTATTTTCAACAGGAGAAAGCTTGCTTTTTTCAGTGTTAGGCCGATCTCCTTGATCCAATCAGGAACTGAGCTAGGTTCGTGCTCAGAGGCACTTTTAGTTAGACATGGTCTTCCTTTAGATACAAGTGTGTCAAGGACAAGAACTGTGGTGTGTTTGTGGTAAAGCCCTCATTCTGTGGGACTTTGTTTCCTAAGCACCTACTCCCAAGTACAACTGTGGGATACTTCTGTGGGATTCTTTCTGCCCTAGTCTCCTAGCCCACCATGCCCCCGAAACACTCTGCAAACACTCCACAAGGAAAACCAGCCATACATCTGGAGGACTTACAGATTCCAGCTTGTCATATCAAGCCCACATATCAGGCGCTCCACTGGATTCCCTTCTCCCAGTAGAGTCTTTCTGCTTATGCCAAGCCCAGTCTTCAGCCTTGGCCTGGATTTGACAAATGGTCCAAGGGATGTAAACAGCTATCTTAGTTCACCTAGAAAGGCATCCACCATCTCTGGAATTTTAGTTCTTTCCTTCCACAGCTGTCTAATGCCATTAAAAAAAGTTTTTTTCCAGTTAAAAAATTTATACATGGGGGGCCTGGGTGGCTCAGTTGTTTAAGAGTCTGACTTCAGCTCAGGTATGATCTTATGGCTTGTGAGTTCGAGCCCCATGTTGGGCTCTGTGCTGACAGCTCAGAGCTTGGAGTCTGCTTCAGATTCTGTCTCTGTCTCTCTCTGCCCCTCCGTTGCTTGCACTCTGTCTCTCTCTCTCTCTCTCAAAAATAAACATTAAAAATAATAGTAACAGGGGCACCTGGGTGGCTCAGTCGGTTAAGTGTCCAACTTCGGCTCGGGTCATGATCTCAAGATTTGTGGGTTCAAGCCCTGCGTCGGGCTCTGTGCTGACAGCTCAGAGCCTGGAGCCTACTTTGGATTCTGTGTCTCCCTTGCTCTCTGCCCCTCCCCTGCTCACACTCTGTCTCTGTCTCTCTCAAGAATAAACAAACATTTATAAATAAATAAACAAATAAATAAATAAATAAATAGTTTATACAGATCTTTAGCTGTTGCAGTGGAAATGATGCGGTCTGCCATTCACTATAGGCTACCTGGAAACAGAACTCACCCACTTTTAGTAGCTATGATAAAAATGTTAAGCACCTCAGTCTGTGATCAAGGCTTCACAATCTGATCTCCATCTACATTTCTAGAATTAGACCCCAATCTCGCATTTCCTCCTCTGATGTTTACCCAACAACCATTGTATTTTTCTGGCTTTCTGCGTTTTTGCTCATTTCACCCTAGTTTTTGTGATGTCCTTCCCTTTCCTGTAGACCAGTACTTACTAGTCTCTGATACATTCCTGGGCTGGCCTGAAGTGTGATGTTGCTCAGTCTAAATTTTTGAAGCATGAGTTGTTCCATCAATTTTCCAGTGAATTATCCTCCTCCCTAGTAATAACACATACATTTTTTTAAGTTTATTTATTTTGAGGGGGTGGGGGAGAGACAGAGAGAGAGAGAGAGAGAGAGAGAGAGAGAATCCCAAGCAGGCTTCGTGCTGTCAACACAGAGCCCAACACCGGGCTTGAAGTCACGAACCATGAGATCATGACCTGAGACAAGTTCAAGAGTCAGACACCTAGCCAAATGAGCTGCCCCAGCACCCCAATAACACATATTATTTATTTCTACTAAAGCTATTTAATTTTTTATGCTACTATTGCTTTTTTTCCTCAACCATAAAGTTTCTACTTGTCAACAACTATGTTTGATTCAGATCTCTGTATTCCCTACAGTGGCTAGCACAGAGCAGAGAAATCCTGAAAACATTTATCAAATCAAACACTGGCCTATTTTCATCATCTATGTTTTAATATGAATGACCTTCTAAAGTGAGGCTTCTGGGGGCAGATGCATTTCTGAGAGTAGCCTGTCTCATAGAACTACATCTCCAGAACTAGATGTTACCCTTCTCGCCACCACCCTACAGGGTTTTTTCTTCCTTTCTCTTTATCGTATCCCACTTCTGTCTTTCCTCTGTTGTCTGATTCTCGATGAATAGCGAGAGGGTCTCTTACTGTGATTTCTTGTCAGCTACACGCCTGTCTTTAAATAGGTGTCTATAAAATCCTGCAATACAATCATCACACAGAATGATGAGTTCTGCCTCGGCCCTTAATATTTATGGTCTCATGCTCCCAAGCCTGGAAATACAAAAATAACCTCTCCGCACTAGGAAAGATCAGAAGTGAGAAAACCAGAGGGACCCCAGGAATCCTCAACATTGGCTTATGGGGGTGAAAGTATGGAAATGTACAGGAAACCCAGGTAATGAGAAGCTAGAACCAGTGTGTGTGTGAGTGTATGTGTGTGAGTGTGTGTGTGTGTGTGTGTTATGTGTAATAGTCACAACCTCAGGGAATATCAATATTAGTGATACTTTTCCATCGATCTTGTAGGAAAAAGAAAAGAAAATCTTACCATGGTTGTTAAAAGACCCAGTCATTTTCATCAAGTACCTTCTACATCACCTTGTTATGCAGCACATGACCTCCTCTGCATACCAGTAAATTCAGATCTGCGATCGCTAGATGCTATATTGCATTATAACAATATACTTATTCACCATACACATTGTCTTAAAACTTCGTTTTAATGTTTGGGTAGCATCTTACGTGATCGCAGCTTAAAAGACAGAAAGCACGTTGCCCCCGACCTCCCTACACGTAGATCCTAGAGTACTGATAACAGGCACTTACCTACGCATCAAACTGGTGAGGGGGATATTTGAAGAACACATAGACCTTCAGCTATTGCCCATTTAAACTATAAACCGTTGCTTTCGTTGTGGGTGACATCACTGTTACAAAGGGGTTTCATCTGAGGACATACCATTCAGCTATATCACGTAACTAACGAAAAGGATATCAGCTTAAAAACGCAATTACGTTATCAAGAAAAAAATATGGAAAGAATGTGTACTAACAAGATAGGCTTTAAAAAGAAAGACCCCGTTCCCCAAAAGCAATAGAGTATTTTGAAGTCAACTTGGTTTTTGGAAAGAAACTAGCCATACACTGTCCAGCCTCTTACTCTTCTAAGTCAGCGGCCCACAGAGAGAAGGTGTCATCGCACTTTGTCCCCGCTAGAAGCCTTGGAGGAGTAAGTTCCCTAAGCGGTGCACCACCATTGTCCCCGGATGGATAAGCCGATTTTGTTCTGCGTTCAGTATCAGGAGGCATCTGTGCCCAGATCTAAGCCTTGTTCTTCACCCTCGCCCTTGCCACTCGAAAGGGAATATTTGGTTCTGCGTCTGCTCTTTTGCTTTCAGTGGGCTCAGAACTTAAGTGGTGAAGGGCGTCGCTCTTTACTTGACCTTCTCAAAGACTCCAGTCCGCTCGGTAGAGTTTCAGCTCATTCTGGAATTGCAGGAAAGGAATGGTGCCAAGTAACCATGGCACAATGCGACAAGGATGATATAATGCTTGTTCACTGGCAGCCTTTGCTTTTACGCTTGACCCTTGAACAACACAGGGGTTAGGGGCACCGACCCCCCCTGCACAGTCAAAACTCTGCACATAACTTTGACTCCCAGAACAACTAATGGCCTACTGTTGGCCGGAAACCTTAACGACGGTTAACAATAGTTAAGGTTCCTATACATCCACAGTCAATGTATATTTTGTATGTTACATGTATTCTGTGTTATGCTCTTACAACGAAGTATAAGCCGGAGAAAAAATGTGATTCAAAGAATCATAAGGAAGGGATAATACATTTGCAGGGCTGGGCTGGACTGTATTTCTGGAGAAGAATCCACACATACGGGGACCTGGCTCAACTGTATATGTTTACAGACAGAGAATGTGAATTAAGTGGCTACATTTGGAAAGAAACCCAGGTCTTTTAACTCTCAATGAGGCAAATGGTCTTTCTTCACTATACAGTGCTGCTTTGACCAAAGCCAAAAAAGGTTCTCCTGAGTCGTGGGAGCTAAGTTTGGCCACACACCAAATTATGATTTGACGTTGGATAGAAGCGAGTTTAGGTTTTTTGGCTCCTTCATTTTTGAAATGCCAAGTTACCTTTATAGGTTGGGACAGTGTCCAACTTTCCTTGTTTAGCTTGTTGTCTCTCCAAAGGCCGGACGATGGCCACAGGCTGCACTTTGTAAGAATTGAAATCCCGTTTGTACGTAGTGCCAAGATCAATCTCCCCCTGTTTTGGTTTATATTCTTCTGGTACCTGGCGAGGCTGTTTGACTATTTCATAAGGACGATAATCTGATCTGAAACATATAAATTTGAAACATAGCCTCACAATTTCTTAATTAGAAATAATCATTATCTCAACGCAGTATTGAAATTTTCAAGGTTTTGTTTTCATTTGAAAAGTCTAAGAAGATATTAAAATGGTGGCAGTTGATAAACTACTTGAGAGAAATAATTCCTTTATGTCCTATCCAGTGACTAAATATGTTAAGAAAAAAATATGTCAAAAATCCTGGTTTTCAAAACATCATTACAATGGCTCTTCAGTTGACTGGATCTTACATAAATAGAATCTTTAAGTAACGGAATTTTTTTCTAACCTAGAAGGAAATTTTCGGATTTCATGAATCTAAAATCTACCCCCTGGGTCCACTTTGTCCAAATCTTTATTCGTCCTACTTGAAGACTAAGCTATTTGGGCATGCTTTCTTCTTATTGAGATCATAAGATCTTCCTGCTTTCTATTGAATCATCAGTTACGTGGATAATTAACACCTGAACTCTGGACTTCAGCCTTAAACCGCATTCATAGTATGGATGTGATTCTGTCTCATCTCTGGACCTCCCAGAAGCCCTTGCCACAGATGGGAGCTGTGTGGCGATGCGGCCACCCTGGGCATCACGTAACCTCATGGGGCAGAAGGAGAGCTGCAGACACTTGGGTTGGCTGGTGGGGTGCGGAAGGGAGGTGACAGACCCAGCGTGATCAGACTCCCTGGGTCCGAATCCCGGCTCTGTCATTCACGAGATGCGTGACCTTGGACGACTCGGTTAACCCGCCTGTGCCCCAGTTTCCTGACATATAAAATGGGCCGATCTTGCCATGTACCTCACAGGGTTATTTCAGAACTGGCACATGTACAGGCGTGCACGCACACATATTTACGAGAGCTTGGTGCCCAGTGAGGGCAATACGTTAGCCACTACTATTTATTATTACTACAAGTCTTCAAAATCGCTTTCTTCTCTTCTGGACTCCCCTGTGTCACTCATTTTAGTTGTTTAAACCATCGTGTACTAATCACTACTTTCTGTGTGTGTCCGTAAGCAACACTGAACGCTTGTTCCCTATTTAGCGAAAGGCATCCCGGCGACTTGAGCTGCACAGTCGGAAAGCCAGGACTCGCCGTCAGGCCTCAGCTCTCCTGTCAGCGCGGCCTCCGAATCTCTTGCAGACCCCACCATTTCCTCCTCCGTGGCGCTACCAGAACGGCCCAAGCTTTCCTAATCCCTGTTCAAACCTTTTAGCTTCTCTCCAGTCTGGTCTCACGTTGCACCCAAAGGAATCCTCTCACTTGTAAGTTGGATCAGGTCATTCCCACCGGTATCTCCCTCACCCCCTCCAAATGCAAACAGGTGGGTGGACAAGAGAAGAAACTTTCAGCGGCTTCGTGTGGCTCCAAGGACACGGCAAAAACCGCAGGGGGCCTCCTCTGCTAGCCTCAGCACCTGCTTCCTCCTGCAGGGGGAGGCGGCCTTCTCCGGGAATTGCCTTCTCTCCCCTCCCCTCCCCTCCCCTACAGGCCATCTTTGCCAGGAATGCACTTCCTCACCTACCTAATTCAGTCAGTTGCTTCACACCTGTCGGGATTTAGCTCCCTCTTCTCTTCTGCCTGATAAAGTCAAACCTTTTATTCTGGCTCTCAAGTCACCTTGTGCCTGTCCTTCACGCACGTGATCACTGCTGCGATTTTGTCCTTCTTCCCAGTGATGTGTTGCTACCTTCGCTGGACTGCAGAATCTGTGAGCACAGAGATCATGGCCGGAACCCCATGCTCACCGCTGTGTGCCAGGGGCTTAGCGTAGGGCCCGACACCTAACAAATGCTTAGTAAATATTATTTAGTGGATAAGTGGTAGAAATCGCATACCTCTTACTCTCCAGACATCTGAGTTGTTCTTTGCTCTTCCCAAATGCCAGCTAGAGGGGAACGGGCTAAAACGCGATCAGGCAGTGGAGGAATCAGGGAGATGACAGAGAGAAAGCGTAGAAGTCTTAGTTCCTCTAGGTGGATTCGCTAAGTGTTAGAAAGTATACCTCCAAACCCAAAGCAGTGGTCTATGGAGACGTGGTAGTGGGTAAATGCACTCTCGGCCATCGGATTGGCCCCATACGACGTGTCCACAATCATACTTCGGGGCGGGCTTCCTAGCTACCCTGGCAGACATCTAGCTGTCCTGCAGCTGTGACGTTGTATAAAGCATCGAAAATCTTAGAGACAAGTCTAGACATCTGCTCGTTACAGTCCCGTCCTGTTACAGAGAAGTACAGAATGACCCTTCATTGTTCGTACCGGCCCATCAGCTGTTGCTGCTTAGTGGACAGTCAACATGAGGGAGCTGAGGAAGGGTTCTGAACCCCTCGCCTGCGGCCCTCGGAAGTGCTGCTATTCGCAGTCAAGATACCAAGAAAAGGTCCAATGTTTTACTAAGTGTACAGACGGTGATTTAAAAAACGGAAATTATAGTTGCCTGGGCATATTTGGAACTTTTGGGAGCTGGGACATTTTTTCTTTCTTTTGTCTTTCTGGTTGGTTGGTTGGTGTGTTTTGTTTCATTTTTACCATTAAGGGATGCTTGATCAAGTCAACTGACAAAACCAGAATTATGAAACAATTGCCTTTTTAAAGAAAGGTATGGCACGGGGCGCCTGGGTGGCTCAGTCAGCGAAGCGTCTGACTCTTGGTTTCGGCTCAGGTCGTGACCTCACAGTTCCCGAGTTCGAGCTCCATGTCAGGTGCTACACTGACGGGGGTGGAGCCTGCTTGGGATTCTCCCTCCCTCCCTCTCTCCCTCTCTCTCTCTCTCTCTCTCTCTCTCCCTGCCCTTACCCCCACTCCTGCTCTCTCTCTCTCAAAATAAATAAAAACTGAAAGATATGGCATGTCATTCTTTCCCAATTTTAACATTTAGAACTAGTTAAATGCGAAACCTTTATTCAAAAAATATGCATATTGTGACATTTATTTCAGATCTCCATTATGACTCATTAAGGCATCAAGGAAGAATGTTAAGGTGAAGAAAAAAATGAGCAACATTCCCATTTGCCCTCTCTCAATTGTTCTATTTCTTCACCTCATTTTCAATAGTTATAGCTTGTTTATTTACCCGAGTTTTTGTTTCTTGACTGCTATCCTCACAAGGCTGTAAGCAACACAGGGGCCAAGTCCCTCATGGCCCACGTCACACTCAGGGACGCTGTAGTACTTGACCCACTGCACTGAATCTGTGGCAACAGACTGAGCAGCAGTGCTGGTTAAAGATGCAGATTCCTGGGACCTGCGGTTTCAGGTGGAACGCTGGAATCTGCAATTTTAACCCTTCTGGGTGATTCTAAAGCACACCGTATCTGAGGACTATGGAAGATCTTCCAATCTGTGGACGAGCCACACGTCTACAGAAGTCGAGTGCAATCACCAAAGCAGTGCTACCTCAAGGGCGGCCCGAAACGTTAGAGGGACAAGTACTGGCCTGAGAGTTCGAAGGTTTCAACCTTGGCTTATGCAAGGACAATGGGCTCTAAAATGAGAAGAAAACGGGTAACACTGCAGATTAAAGTGGGTACGGAGCATTTTTAAAACCCCAAGTTATAGAAATCTGATGTGTGTGTTTCCTGACACCAGAAACTTCTATTTATTGATTTTTATACTTAACACCTAAGATTGTGCCTTGAATATGGCGTGCACATTAACAGAATAAAGACAAGAATTAACTCACTGACAAAGGTACAAAACAAATTAAAAAAAAAAAAAAAAGCTAAGTCTGGGGCGTCTCGGTGACTCAGTCGGTTGAGCGTCCGATTCTAGATTTCGGCTGAGGTCAGAATCTCACAGTTTGTGGGATCGAGCCCCGCATGGGGCTCTGTGCTGACAGCATGGAACCTGCTTGGGATTCTCTCTCTCTCTCTCTCTCTCCCTCCCTCCCCCACTCCTGCACTTTCTCTCTGTGAAAAATAAATTAACTTAAAAAAACAAAAACAAAAACAAAACCAACTAAGTCCCAATGGAAAGTTCAGGGTCAGGAAGACTTCTTTTTGTCTATCCAACACCGAATAAATATGGAGTGTCTACTCTGTGCCAGCAGGCCTCCCACTAGGTTCCTGGAAATAGAACGCGAAGATGAGAATAGACAGTTCCTGCCTGTGTGGGCCTCTGAAATGGAGTTAATGATAAATAACTAAGATGCTTTGAGGCCTTACATAGGGGACTTTTACCCAGCCTGCAAACTGGGTACAGTGTCAGGGTGGTAACTAGGTTGAGACGTACAGGCTAAGTGGGCATTAACTGGGGTAAAAGGGAGGGAAATTTCCAGGCAAGTGAAATAATATACTGGAAGGCTCTGTGGCAAGGGAGACCTGAGATTTTTCAAGAAATGAAAAATGTCTTGTGGGATGTGACATTAAAAGAGCACGGTGAAAATAAATTAGAGAGGCAAGTACAGACCAAACCATAAAGGGATTTTGGTGGCTATTAAATAAAATGGGAAAGCGTAAGTATTTTAAGCAAGGAGGTGATAGAATTAGAACTGCATTTTATTTAAAAAAAATTTTTTATGTTTATTTTTGAGAGAGAGAGAGAGAGAGAGTGACAGAGTGTGAGTGGGGGAAGGGCAGAGAGGGAGACATAGGATCCGAAGCAGGTTCCAGGCTCCGAGCTGTCAGCACAGAGCCCGACGCGGGGCTCGAACCCACGGACTGCAGGATCACGACCTGAGCTGAAGTTGGACGCTAAACCGACTGAGCCACCCCGGGGCCCCTAGAACTGGATTTTAAAGAGGTCATGTCTGCAGGGTAAAGGATAGGAAACAGATCAGAGATGTAAACACTAGAAGAGATACAGAAAATACCGGAAGCTACTGCATTCCTCTAGTTGGGAGACAGTGGAAAGCAGATGTTAGAAGAGATTTTAAGTGGTTAAAACAACAAAGCTTTTTGTTGCCCTTTTTCTTCTCACTGTTTGCCATTCTAACCTAACACTCGTTTTTCTGTGTTTCTCAACTTGCGACTCAACTGGCTCCTTGCTTCTTGGGTTGGTTCAACTTCAATCAACCTAATAGTTCAATTTAAAGAATAAAACAACTTTATTAAGCCCAGAAGGGTTGGAGAAAAGTAAAGCAAATAGTTTCTGAATATTTACTTAAATGTCGTTATCCCTTCCATTTTACCACGGCATGCTTGAAACTCTTGCTTGGGCTTCAGACTTTGAGGTGGAGGAACATTGCCATATGTAGGATATTTTTCCAAATATTCAGTTGTGGGGCAGGATGTGCCAGAATTTTCATAAATCCTTGTGGTTCCGTGTGGACAATGATGCCGCCTGTGCAAACATAAATAAACTGAAAGATTATTTTGGCTTTCAAAAATATTTTTTTTTTCAACGTTTATTTATTTTTGGGACAGAGAGAGACAGAGCATGAACGGGGGAGGGGCAGAGAGAGAGGGAGACACAGAATCGGAAACAGGCTCCAGGCTCTGAGCCATCAGCCCAGAGCCTGACGCGGGGCTTGAACTCCCGGACCGCGAGATCGTGACCTGGCTGAAGTCGGACGCTTAACCGACTGCGCCACCCAGGCGCCCCCAAAAATATTTTATATAACTGCATCTTAATCAGAGAACTTTGATAAACACACAATCTCTAAATTTAAAAGAAGCTTTACTAATACACACAAACACACAAAAAAAACCTGTTTATTCTGCAATGGTGTTTACAAAAATAATGAATAAATTATGATATATCCTTCATGGTAGAAAAAATTATGGTATTTCTTCTGACAATGATTTAGAGTGTCTTTTTTATTTTACTTTGTTAATGTTTACTTATTTTCGAGAGACAGAGCACGAGCAGGAGAGGGGCAGAGAGAGAGGGAGACGCTATATTTGAAGCAGGCTCTGGGCTCGTAGCTGGCAGTGGAGAGCCAGACGCGGGGCTTGAACTCACCAACGGTGAGATCATGACCTGAAGTGAAGTCAGCCGCTTAACTGACCGAGCCACCCAGGTGCCCCTGGAGTGTCTTCTTATACTAAGAAGCTGAAAAGCTAACATTTCCCAGGCTCTTGGCAGGCAGGCCCCATGTACAATTTAGCTTTCAACTGTTGGGTGTGCTCAGCTGATGCTCTCAGACAGCACTATGCAGGGAGAGAGGCTTGCAGGGTTGTGTTAGAGGCACAGAGGGGCTGGAGCAGGCAGGCGTCAGGCAGCGTTCTGGTTTGCAAGGTGGCTTCCTGTCCGGCAGCTTCAGCAGGAAAGGGGGGTTCGGCAGGAGGGAGTGGTTCTGAAGCCCGCCGCTCTGTTGCTGTTTCCCGGGTATTGGCAGGGGCAGTGGCTCCCTTGGCAGCCCAGTTCTGAGGTGAGAGTTTTTGGGAATTTTTCCTGAAAAGCTTACTTTGAAAACTGTTTCTTCCGTTCTTCCAACAATTCTGTGAGCTGCATATACTCCTTAATAAATTCTTTTATGCCTCGACTAGGCGAGAGTAGATTATATTGTCCATGACTAATAACCCTGACTAATATATCATATAAGCTAATAGCAGGTAGTTGTTAAAGAGAATAGGGTTGATCTTAAGGCGTGGCCGTTGCCAGACGCGGAGATTGTAAACAGTGAAAAAGTGGGTTGCGGAACAGTATGTATAATACACTCTATTTCTCTTTCCTTCTAAAGAATGCAAAAACAAGTCTTGAAGAACATTTATTATTTCTAGGACTAGGATGATGAGGGATTTTCACTATATTCTAGATTTTTTTGCCTTGCATGTTCATACAGTGCCTCATGTATATTCATTTCATAATCAGAAAAAAAAAAGATAAAGCTCTTAACAAAACAAACATAAAAATCCAAGCAAACAAAAAAGAAAAATCAGCTCCTCGGGTCTCATATCATTTCGGGCTCCGGGCTATGTGTGAGGACTACTAATCCAAGCCCAGGTAAGGTTGAAGAAAATGCATACACTCTCTGTAGATGAGTCAGAACCGGCGAGGATATCTAGACTCAGTGAACCCCGGGGGAAGAACATAAGAGAGATCAGCTGTTTTGCACGGAGGTTGCTGGACAGCAGGAAGGATTGCAGTGTGCAGAAGGGTAGAGAGGTGGTGTCATGGGCTATTCAAAATTCAAAGTCAGAGGAGTGGAGAGATTCGAGATTACTGGCTGACAGTGGAGGCTTCGGGAAAGTCCTAAAGTGATTTAGGACCACAGATGGTCTCTTGGAACAATCAGGGACGGGGAACATAGGTCATGCATAGAGGTTCTGATACAGGTGCACTGAGTTACAAGAATCAAGTCCAAGCTCTGGAATTTCTCATTATTCTTAGTTTTATTTCTTATGCAAGGCATACATTCACATTGTAACAAAACAAGCTGAAGAGCTTATAAAGGAAACGGGAAAAGCCCGTTCTCCCAACGTTTCCAGTCTCTAGAAACTACTTTCTGACGATCATCTCTGCTTTTTAGTTTTTCTGGAGGCTACATCTGCGTTTTCATTTTTTCTTTTCTTTCTTTTTTTTTTTTTTAATGAGCTTTTAACATCTTGATTTATCCGCTT